TTAGCAAATTTGGGTGAAAAGAGTATATTTAGGGTCAGGGGTGGGGGGTTTACCAGGGGTAGGAACCGTCAATTTTACGAACGGGGCACCGGAGCACCCCCGGGTCATCCCATGACATTGGTTCTCAATGTCATTTGAACCGGCCTCATATATAATCTCTTGTATCCACACTTTATGATTATTGGAATGGAACATATCAATTCTCCGGTCCGATCGGTCCTCTTCCTCTTCCATTCTCTTCCTTCAGTGTGCTTCTTCCTCTGGTTTTTTTTGTCGGTATAGGATAATAGATGGGTGGATGGGCGGTGCGCTGCAGAGATGATGTATCTGATATTTAGCGGGATAGAGTACGCCGTATGGATTTAATTTTAAATAAATAATATGGACACGGAGTTCGCTACTCTGTTTGGATAATTAATTCCAGTAAAAATAGAGTTACTAATTCCGTATGGCACTGCAAGAAAAATTTTCCGTGACTTACACTGTTAAGAACGCAATTTTTTTTTACATATATCGGTCATTTGCTCTCAGATCCAACATTATCTAAAATATACCATGAGTCTTTAAAATTTGTAATATTATACTCCGAGTGTCTATCTATTTAATGTTAGAACTAAAATTTCATTTACTTTGAGAAATTGAAAAAGTTATATTTAAAAAAATAATGATTATCAAGGTAAAATAATGATTAAAATAACAGAACTTGTAATACTAACGGCCAAATTAAATAAGTGAAATGTATCATCAGAGTACATCACTATAAATTTTAAAGAACACCCGAATATATTTTAAATAATGTAGAAAATGAGAGTTCTTACCAAAAATTAAAGATATCGAATAATATATTTCAGTTACTGTCAGATGTACTAACTATTACCAAAAAAGTTGAAGATACTCCAGAGTAATTTTATGTACTGCCTATGTAGTATGAAAGAATTGAAGTATGAGAAAAAGATTAAAGTATGAGTAAAACATTGAAAATATATACAAAGATTTTCATATTTTTATTTTTAAAATAGAAGTTTAAATTCATTTACATTATCAAACAGCATATTAACGTAAATGTCTATTCAAGTGTATTTTTTTGATGTGACATTAGTGGGAAGGACAACTATGGCATGTGAGTGTATGATTATGTCGTGCAACTGCAATACTCACTCAGTCTATAAAACATGGGTTATCACTTATCAGTTATCTTCCCTTTTGTCACATTATTATTTCTGAATTATTATTTTCATTTTATCGAAATTAAAGAAAAATTGAAAAATAATAAAATACTCCGTAAATAAATACCGTCTACAATTTATTTAGAGACAATAAGTTCGGGACATTTTTTTTTATAAAAGAAAAATAAAAAAAAAATATACACAAATACCTAATATAAAAAACTAGGATATATGAAAGAGAATAGAGGTAAAAGCAGGAGGAGAATTTACGCAAATGAGATTGAAACATATCATTTTTTTTCTAAATACGATCAATCTTATATACTCTAATGTTTGAAAAATGAACAATTACACAATTCAAATAGAATAAGACATTATTAAAAACAATTTGAATAGTCATTATAGCTTGAAATAATAAGTCATTATCCAACACTTGTTACTAATAACCACATTCGTAGAGTCATTCGTATAATTAGTTATCATCCAATATTTGTTATGTTAATGGTGACATATATGACAGATCATAAATAATTATGTGACATAGAGAAAATACAACATACTTGATCCTATTCTGATAAACGTACTACTTTTTAGTCCTATATGAACCAAATTTTTCATAATACTTCTTGCTTCCTAAATAGGATTACTCCGTATAATGTTTAATGTATGACGTATAATCTCATACTCCCTCCGTCTGGAAATGTTCTTTCCATTTGATTTTTCACGGTCTACAATATTGCAGTTTGACCATCAATATCTATATTTATAAATAGATATATTTTATAAAAATTTGATATTTGAAAAGTACATTTCATTATGAATATATTGATATTAAATTTGCATCATAATACAATGTGTTTTTTCCACAAATCGTAGTCAAAGTTTATAAACTTTGACCAAAAAAAGTCAAATGTGAAAAACATTTTCGGACGGAAGAAGTATTTTTTTAAAACTAATTTATTAAAAAATTGTTTTAAAATTATTTATACATTTTATAAATTAAAAAATTACGTCAAATATTATACAAAAATTAGGTGTCAAGAATATATTATCGAATAATCAATGTAAGTACACAAAAAAATAAAATGATCGAAATAGGTAGAAAATCACTGGACATTATTTCGCTCACTAGACATTATTAAGTCCTATTTAGAGAATAAAAAAGTTTAAGTCATACATTGATAAATGACGTATGTTTTAGTTCTATTTAGTACGGAGTACAATTTTTTTTTAATTTCTAAAACTAATTAATCAAACTATTTTTGGAATAAAAGAAGGAAGATAGATTTCACCAGTGGTATGTGACTTTAAAAGTTTTTCCACTTTAGTTCCTAAAGATCAGTTTTTATCGTTAGTATTTTTAAACTTGAAGAAAGCTTTCACAATCCACGTAAGCTATGGGCCTGTTTGGGAATAGCGTTAGAGATTAGCGTTAGCATTTTGGATAAAATTTTAACGGTGCAGATTACTTTGAAGACGCTAACGCTAAACGCTGCCCGTTGATAGCCTTTTCAAAATGCTAACGCTAATCGGTAACGCTACTCCCAACAGGCCCTATATGTTGCATGCCAACTTGTTTTTATGTTTCCTTCTGATAAAATTTAGGATGGGTATGAACAATTGGATTAGGCAATAAGACACTTGGGTTGAACCACATTAAAAGATTGAATCCAATCGATTAGTTAGTCCAAGTCAAGAGCTTATATACCGGTTATTTTACTCTTGAACTTCCGATGTGGGATGCACTCTAACACCTTCTTTACCCTTTATATTTAGTGCAAGTGTCTGCATGGGTAGCTCAACTGATGATTGAACCAATGAGAAGATATTAAACCTGTTGATCTTATGGCCAAATCTTGACAACGATAATGTGAGAGTTCTACCATTTGTAATAACTTCTTGTGTGCACCGTGCACGGAACGATCTCTCTAAGAATCAGATTGAGATCATACTATGATTTATCTCCCTCCTAATATTGTCGGGCAGGGGTGTGGGGCCGGGATTAGCATTCTACCTTTTTTTATATTTAGTACAAATGTTCACAGTTATGAGACCTTTAACTTAAATAGAAATCACCCTAAATAGTACTAAAACATAGAGAAAAGTACCAAAATAGGACTTTCATGTTTTTTTTCTCGAAATATGACTTTGCATTGTGGTAATGTGACTTTGCCCTGTTGTAATGTGGCAGTATATATGTGCAAATTACTATACTTTTTTGGTAATATATATATATGACCATGTATGTAATGTAAGTCCTATTTCGAGAATAAAAATATGGAAATTCTATTTTAGTATATTTTCAATATTTTAGTCTTACTTTGAACTTTCTCCCTTAACTTAAACGATCTTTTTTAATAAAGTATTTTTTAAATAAATCTTCACTAAGTTATAATTACAATTTAATTTATAAATAAATTTTAATTTGAAATTTAAAATTTACAATGGATAGTAAGAGGAAACTTTGTGTCTCCTGCACTTGACTTGCATGTCTTAAAGGATCAAAGGTCAAACAGGAGGAGTTATCTCTTTTGGCGAGGTTCCATGGCCACCCTACTTGAGCTATTGTCATTCAATAGTGTCTATTTCATAAAATTCAGAATTTTTACCTCCCACTTTTTAAGTAAATTTCCACTCAATTTCGATTCTAACTAACTTTTCCACCCACATCAAGTGCACCTCGCATATATATTAGTTGATTTTAAAGTCAAAGATTTTGGTATCAAAATCAAATAAATTTGCGGGGTGTAATAAACGTGACTGGAAAGATTAGTTTGAGTCGGAACTGGTTATGGGATTAGAGCGTAGAAATTATCAATTTTAAGTACGAAGCACCATAAATGTCTAAATAGAGACATTGACTTCCGTGGCCACTCAATAACAATGGTCATGGAACTGGCCAGTATCTTTTTGCACCTTGTCCCATATGAGTACCCATTTCAGATTCATAACATGTTTTCTTTTGCTTATTATTTTACTTACTTTTTCGTCCAAGTATTTTTATTCAATTTAATTGTTTCGAGTCAAATTCGATGAATATTAGTCATCAATTACTCTATAATTGTATTGTATTTTAATATAATGAAATAAAATTTTGAAAACTCTCAACAAGATTAATATAATAAAATCAATTCTATACTAATTTATAATAAAGAAAACACCTTAAATAGGAATAAAATATAAAAAAATACCAAAATAGGAGTTTCATTGTTCTATTCTCTAAATAAGAGTTTACATTATGGTAATGTGGCACTGTATATGAGCATTTTACTATACTTTTTTAGTAGTGTACATGATCATGATTGATAATGTAAATGCATTTTAATTCTTATTTCGAAAATATAAATATAAAACTCTTATATGGTATATTTGCAATATTTTACTCTTACTTTATTCTTTTTTCATTTATAATATAATTTTTATTTAGTTAAAGTTCAAAGTTTATGTTGTTTAACTTGAAAAAGCCAAATTGGAAGAATACACTGAGACGAAATGTAATACTCCATATTATTTATTCTTATTTAACTCAGATCAAACCAAATCTCATCAGTTTGGAATTAACTTTAAACTAAACTAAAATCAAATCACACCAAATAACATGAGAATTAATAAAATCATACTTCTTCTGTCTCATGATTGATTACAAAGTGCATTATTCTAAAAACAAGATAATTCTTTTTATTTGTATATCTAATTGACCATTTGATTAAAATAAAATATATTCTTTCCACTTTTTGATTAGTAGATACGGAGTATTTTTCATATAAATTTCTTAAATATGTAAATTTATTTTTTATTTTTATACATTTCTAGACACCCTTCATAGGTATCCCTCAATCCCAACTGCAAAAGAAAAAAAAGAGGAAAAATAGAGAGAGAGAGAGAGAGAATTTACTCCGACTTTGCAGTTCTTGGTTCGTCGCCTCCGGAGAACGCCCCTTCTTTTTCAGTAATTTCCCCGTCAAAGGTACCTGGGAACTTCTTTTTTTAAAAAAATTTTTGTTTTAATGTTTATCGGTAATCGCGTGTTTATTTATTTATTTATTTCGTTTATCTTTTCCAGTTTTTGGTAATTGGGTAATTGCTTGCCGATTCTTGATTCTGCAGAGTCAATTTAACCAAACAGCAAGATAAACCCTAAGAAGTGTTTGATTTATATAATTACAAGAGTTGTTATTAATTAACTAAGCTAGCTCGTTAATGGCCTCCCAAGATTCTCTTAGATTTTCATTTTCTTCTGTTTCTTTAGCACATTTATTGCCCCCCCGGGATTAGGTCTGCCACTCACCCACCCATCCCGGGGGGAGGGTGCTCAATCAGAGACTAGATCGAGAACGAAGAAACCCTAATTTCTCCGAAATTTTAGAAATTTTGCCAAGAATTTGGGTGTCTGGAGACGTCCCCATTTTTACTCTCTCCGTTCCTTTTTAACTGTCGAATACTCTCTCCGTTCCTTTTTAACTGTCGAATACTCTCTGTTCATTCCTTTTTTAATTGTTCGTTTAACCTTTCGGTGCCGAACTTTTGACTAACAATAACACTTAAAGTACATTTGCAAAAAGTTATATAAAAAAATACTCTTCGTCTGGAATTGTTCTTCTCATTCAAGTTTACGAGGCTTGGCTAAACTTATTTTCAATTCAATTTATTTGATTATAAGGGCAGATGACAATCAAACATACCAAACAAACCTCGACACTCTAGTATGGTAATCATTTTCTTTGATTGTATAAGCTTTAGCCCACCTCAAAATAAAGGTCACAACAAATGCTTTTATCCTCTTTGGCATTTAAATATTTTCCTTCCAATGGGAATGATAATGATGATCACCAACGTTATCATATTCTTCGCCTCTTGTGTGCTCCCACATTCATTGAATATGGCGTAAAAATTGTTTTACACAAACATGTCTTATTTAGTTTTTTTTATGTACTCCTTCCCTTGACCCATCGATTTCTTATGGCCTTCGAGCTCTCCAATCGCAAGACGAAGTACTTGATCCTCTCCAACATTGAATCTACATCTCTCCAATGATTGTGTCCTCGTTTCAATGTCTTGAGTGGATGAACCACGAACATCTATTCTTGGACTCAATATCGGCAAAGCCCTAATAGGGATCTCCTATGCATCTCCACCTCTCTAGTGTGGTTCATCCATTCACGGCATTGAAACGAGAACGCAATCAATGGAGAGGATGAAACCACTTGGTCTTGTGATTGGAGAGCTCGAAGGGCGTAAGGATTCAATGGGAAAAATGGAGTACATAAAAAACTCAGCAACAGATGTTCATGTAAACCACTTTTTTACGCCATGTTCAATGAATGTGGAAGCATGCAAGAGGCGAAAATATAATTTCTAACGTTGGGGATCATCATTATCACTCTGATTGGGAAGGAAAGTATTTAATGCCAAAAACAGACTAGATGCATTTGTTGCAACCGTTATTTTGAGGTGGGCTATATATAACTTCTGCAATCAAAGACTGTGATTATCATAATGGCATTCCGGCTTCGAAAGATAGGTTGGACTGAGTAGGACCCTCATTATTGACTATCAAACTAGCGGTATATAATCAATCAATCACAACAGACCATTCACACACACTTGGCTCTACTCACTCGTTCCTTCTATGTCCAATCATCTACTTACATCCTAATACTCCACTCGTTCCATTTAGTTTAGCGTGTTTCTAATTTCTTTGTATGAATATTGACATATATTATGTTTATATTTATTTAACTTTTACCCTCTATTTGGTTAGAGAGAAAATGCAAAGAAAGGGGAGAGGGGAAGAAGACACACGGAAATCAATACATTTCTCTTGTTTGGGGGGAGAGAGAAAATGTAGAAAGAAGAGAAAACCGTAGGTGAAGAAAAGAAAATGATTGAAATTGCTTTTTGGTCCGTTCATCCTCAAAATTAAATAATGGAAAAAATGTCATTTTTTATTTTTAATTTTCTCTCCAACCAAACAAAGGAAGAAAATATCTAATTTTTTTCTCCTCATTTTTACTCATCCATCAATTTTTCTTTTTATTTTTTCCTTAATTTCTCTTCTCCCCATTTTCTTTATTTCCATTTTTTCTCTTTATTTCTCCTTATTTTCCTGTTTGTAGACTATTCAGTACAAATCTCAATACTCCTTTGATCCTTTCTACCCGTCTTTTTTCATTTTGAGATTTTGTCTTTGATCATTTATTTTGATAGACAAAGAATGAAAAAAATTCATGTATTTGCGGGGAAAAAGTCACTCATCCGTCTTTATTTCATTTTTGTCTATTTATGTTTTACACAGGGTTTTAAAAACGTAAAATTGTATGGTTGAAAACTTGAAATTTGTGAAGAGGGGAATTGATGTATACCAATTGATTATCATCTCTCCCCTAAAAGGTCATTCTCATTTGTTCATATGAAAAACTTGTCTCTTTATGCAATAAAAATATCATTTCATCGTTTTATATGCGACATTTTAAACGATTGTTCGATTAATAAATGCTTGGATCTCACCCTAAGTGCTTGGCTTTGAAATTGCCATCTCAGGACTGAGGAATCTCTCAACACTTGGCCGGGAAGCTCTTAAAGGCACATTTGCGGGGTTTTTTTTCTTGTTTTGATCATCTCTGATTCGCTGTGAACATACCGTCTGTCTAGTCTCGAGTAGGGGCAAGGTCTGTTTACACACTCTCTGCAGAAAATGGATTTTTTTAACTGGGAACTGGGTTTGTTGTCGTTGATCATCTTTGAATAGTGGAAATAGAGCAGATTCTTACACTACTACAACTATGGATGGATTTCTGGAGACGCCTTTCGATGATGACAAGGACCTGTCTGTGAGCAACGATGAGGCTACGATGCGTCGCCTCAAAAACCGTGAACGCCAACGCAGGTATAGAGCTCGGAAACGCCTCGAAGCCGATACGGGTAAAGCACCTGGCAATGACTTGAGCCAATCTACCCGGACGGACGCCAAAGAAGTTTGGGAATCTCCAAAAAACAACAGATACTCTCACATCCTCCCAGAAGTGTCGGTGACGGGCATCCGAGAGAACGGATTGCCCGTTGCCCGGGAGTCCCCGATGCTCGTAAGCGCTACTTGTCAAAATGAAATGGCGGTTGCCCAGGAGTGCCTGAGACACGAAAACCCAATTGTGACCCGCGTTTACTGTGGGCGGGACTGGAAACAAGATGCTCGAAAAGCCCACGGGCTGAGGCGAGAGCAAGAAGTTATAACCGATGATGCAACCCGGATGCGACGACATTCGGGTAATGATGAACCAGACATTGCCCGAAGCGACCGGATTGCCTTGGATGTCTCTGAACAGGCTAAGAATGAAACGCCCAGAGTCATGCCCAGCAGAAGACATTGGAAAGCAGATGCTAGAAATAAGAAAGGCTGAAATGGTTTTTTTTATGTGACTTGTGAGTGACATTTGGGAGTGATGACCAAGAGTCTCTATTCATGGATCATCTTTGTTTTTTTTCTCATTGTAATTCCCACATAATTGTGAATACCAACATTTTTATCCTGAAAAAAAGTCATGCTAAATTTACACAAATTGTTTGTCTAATTTTAAGTTGCATATTTACTATTTATATGGTCAAATTATAATTTTTTTAATTCATTTTTGTTATTCATTTAGTAAAATAATACAAATGGTTATTTCAAACTTTTGTTTTGTAGTAATTTTGATGTTTTTGAATATATGATCCTTCCGTCTAATTTTAGATTGCATGTTTTAGTTCACGGTGTTTAATTGAAATTATTTTCAATAAAATTTATTTAAGAATTGGGATGGTATTAAAAATAAAAAAAATTATACTTAAAAACTATTGTAAAAGTAATACAAAATAAGAGGTGACATGACTATATTATTTTATCAAATAACTAAAAAAATAAAGAAAGAAAGTGAATGAAATTTGATCTGTGAATATTGAACAAGTAACTTAATTTGGACGGAGGGAGTAAATTTTATTTTTTAAAAAAATTCTACTCCAACTTTTAAACAAAATTTTTTAAAAGTAACTCTAATTTTACTTCATAAACAATAACATACAACTTAAAAATAAGACAAAGAAGTGTCATATTTAAACAAAAATTTATGCTTCATTTAGAGACATTTGAGGGTTATGCCAAATGAGTATTTGGTGTAATGAATTTAAAGATGCAAAAGTTCATCAAATATTCTAAGAAATAAGAAATTTTACAAGAATAGTTCAAGTTGCGCAATCATATTTCCAAAAATACTCCGAGTTTGCATATTAATCACATATCTCCAAAATTAAAAGACTTATGTAAATTAAAAATTATCGTGCAGTATTATTGTAATTTTTGTAAAATTCCAAATTTCTTAAAATACTGACATTAATTTTTTCCCATAAAAGTAAGTACAGTACTTCTTTTATCCAACAAAAGGGCTAAGAATTCTCTCAAGAGGCGCGTAGATTAGCTAATCGACAAGGGATGCAAAAGGGCATTATTGTCAAGTTTGACTTCTACCGAAGGCAGTGTGAGATTTTTATGCTTTGCCTAAACTCCTTGCGGAGAGTTTGAGACTACAAATATTTATCACAGAATCCGATGTTAAAGTTTTATTGTACCTCTATTTTATTGCTCAGAACAGGCCACGAAGAATCTTAGGAGACCGAGCTTTATCACATCTTGTGGTCGATGGGCTAACGGGCCACTATACATAGGCCCTTCCCCCTTGGGCTTTGAGCCCATCTTGTATAAGCTCAGGTGGCAGACCAATTCAAATAGGGTGACAAATTGGTGTGAAAAAAAAAATAAAGAATAAATTCTACTTTAGTTGACATGTCTAATTCTTGTTTTTGACTTTCAAGCATTTTTGTTTTTTAGCTGGTCATCAACTCAGAAATATTTTTTTTTATGTTTCAAATGGAGTAAATATCTTCCCCAAATATGTACAAACGCAAGTTATATATATATATATATATATATATATATATATATATATATATATATATATATATATATATATATATATATATATATATATATATATATATATATATATATATATATATATGCTCAAAATTTGTAGTATTTGACCTTAAAAATGAAATATATTCTAAACAGTTTTATGAGATTGAATGAATAGAAAATTTTTTATATATCAAAATTGTAGTTTAAAATAAATTCAGTTCTATTAAAGCCATATTATAAGGAATACTTTTTATAATTTATAATCGAAATGTGTAGAAAATTAACTAAAAAAATTGAAATTGTAAAAAGGTTTTTTTAAAGACGAATATAATAAGATGGAGAGAGTAGTATATGTATAATAATTTATAAAAAAAACAATATCTATACTTAAAAAAATAATTTATCTTAAAATACTGTAGGGGACAAATTGCTTGGGAGTAGTTTCCTTGCATGCAAACATGTCGCACATGTTTAAGGATCTTCAAACATATCTCTTTGAACCTCCAAATTGGACAAATAAATATCTGAGAAAGATAATGCCATTCACTCCTATTTATTTCTTCTGTCTTTATTCGGATCATGTGACAAATTGTTTATATTAATTTATTGAATACTAAATTCTACCTATTTTAGATTCTTTCACTACATTGACCTTTCTTTTTCCTGTTCTTTTGATACTTGTACGTTATTGGATTTTTTTTCCAAATTACAGATGACAATTTGATTATTTGTGTGGTCATACATCTTTAATATATATTCTCTAATATTGTGTACGAGTTTGTGTCTAATAATATGTAATTTTTCATTTTTGCAACTTAATGAAACTTTGGATGTTCTAATAAGAATTTCAACGTTTTTTTGAAAAAAAATGACACGCGTGGTCTCGAACTCTCGGCAATTTACCTTTCGGCTCGGTTTGGGGCATCTCTCGCAACGCAAGCACCATTGTTCGACACCATATGAGGAGCAAAATATTCGAGAGTCCATGCTGAAAATGCATGCATAGATAGTTGCCTAATGCCAAGGCCCTACCGATTGGTCGGTACACAAATTAAAGAATAGTGAAATTTGCTCTAAATAGGTCTAAAACATAATGACTTTCCTAATGTAGGACTTAAACTTTTTTATTCCCTAAATAGGACTTAATAATGACCTTGTGAGATGAATAATATCCAGTACTGATGGACATTTACTTGAATAATGACTACTTGATAATGACCAAAAGTCCTACATTGAGAAATAAAAACATATGGTCCTATATTGGAAAAGTCATTATGTTTTAGTCCTATTTAGGTAAATTACTCTAAAGAATATTCGTTTATGTAAAATCATGTAGCTTGCAACTTCTAATGTATTACTCGCTCCGTTCTTGAGTATTTGTCCACTTTTGACTTTTTCCGATCAAAATTGGTAAATTTTGACCTCAAATTAAATAAAAATGATATTAGATACTGATACAAAAAGAGTTTTCTTAGATTTATTATATCAGATATTTTCAAAATATTATTTTATTTCATTAAAATACAATATATATTTTATTTAATTATATGTCAAAGGTTAAAAATAGTTGACTGAAAAAAATCAAAACTAGACAAATACTCAGAAACATAGGTAGTATTAATATTATAAGATTTTATGTGCGACTTCTAATGTATCAATAATACTCCGTATTACAATATGCTATCTTATAATTTATTCAATCATACGAGAGAGATACGTATAGAACAATTAACATGATTAAACTAATGAACATAAATAAATCAAATTTAGCTAAAAATAAATAAATCGGTAATAATGTGTTTATTTGTGACAACATTTCTAATTAGCTCTAGAAAATGATACGCAGTACAAATAAACGTTCAAAAAGACTAAAGAAGGACTAACACAGCAACTTTTTCAAAAAGTTCAAATCAAATTCAGCTCTAACGATAATAACAGACCGCCGATCTACGAGTAATGCCGGAACGCCATTAACGGACTCTGAGACTGCCATCCCTTGGCTTTCCTGACGCCGCCGCCGCCGCGGTGCGGCGTCACCTCGACGCGTATCGATCTGGACCTCTCCAGCATCTTGAATTCATCCGCTACGCCGGCGGCGGCGCAATTGCCGCCAGATTGTGTGGCGTCTTTCGATTCCGGTTTTCTCCTGGTCGAGGATCGGAAGAAGGACCAGAACCACGACGTTTTGCTCTCGCCGCAGTTCCGGGACAAGGAACCGAAGAGGCCGCCGCCGCGCGGTCGGGGGAGGGGGACGCCGACGGATTTGGAGCGGCGGAAGCTCAGATCGGCGTCGGACGGGAAGCCGGATTCGACGGATCGGGAGGACGAGGACGCGGAGGAAGACGGCGACGTGGCGAGGAGGCAGACGCAGGGGCGCACGGCGGCGCAGTCGGGGCAGAGAATGGCGAGACGATCCGTCAAGCAAACGGGGCAAACGCCGTTTCTGACTCCGTTAGAAGGGTGTTCTAGACATTTCCATGCCTCCTCTGGTATCATCACGCAAGTCGCCGCCGCCGCCATTGGGATCGTGGTGTACGGCCGGAGAAAGTGTTATGCTCGGTCGCCGTCGCCGTCGCTTTCTTAAACCTTTTTTTGGTTACTAAATAAGCTTATGAATTGCTAATAATATGATTAAATAAGGCCGGGATTAAAAGGGGGGCAAAGCTTAAAATGTGCTTTTAGTTAACCATGGTTAGCTTTACCCGGATCACTCTAACTCGGATATTGAAACATTTTGAGGAACTCTATGAGGCTGTTTCTTTCAGCCTCTTAATAGTTCAAATGTCTAAATAAGTTCAGCACTTAATGGTTCAGACTGTTTGTTTCAGCCTCTTAATGGTTCAGATGTCTGAATGGCTAAGAGATTTGCCTCTGAATGGTTAAGTATTATACAGAGTCTGAATGGTTAAGACTTCTTATCTGAATTGATTAGACATTTGTCTCTAAATAGTTAAGCAATATACTAGCTCTTAATGGTTAAGACCTCTTACTGGTTCAGCACTTAATGATTCAGACCTCTTACTGATTCAGCACTTACCTATTCAGAAGTTGCCAAACAGCCCCTATGACTAGGGGTGTGGGCCCAACACCGAATCGGATCAAAATTGGGTAAATGCATGAGCCCGAACTGGTTTTTTTCTTGGGGTGTTTTAAAAAAATTACTCCGAATATTTCATTCGTTTCAAAATGATTTATCTTTTTATTTTTATGTCAATTTGATAATAGTTAACAATATAAAAAGTTTAAATTGAATTTTATAAATTTATTAGTTTGTTGGATTTCAAAAAATATCACTTCGTATAAAGTTACATTTTAAAGTGTTTTCATTTTTTTATCAAAAATAAGTTACATGTCAAAATATCTAAAATATCAAGTCTAAAAAAACATACATCATTGTATAAAAATAATGAGCTATGAATAAATGTGAGGAAAAATAGAGAAGGATGAAAAATATTCAATTATATTTCTCCATAACTTTTTCTTTTAAAACGGTAAAAAAATTTAAATAGCACTTGATAAATAATCTCATATTTGCCATATTAATTAGGAAGTAAAATAATTTTTTTCTTCCACCTAGCACACAATTAAATATCGAAACAAAAAGAGAAAAAATATGTTTTTATTTTTTCCCTCTAAATTTTCCACCAATATTTCGTTGTAAATGTATCCAATGAAATAAAGGGTATAAGTTTTAAAAAGATGGAAAAAATAAAT